AGCCTACTGCACACCTAGGCTATATGGTATACCCATTATGATCTTATGGGACCACTGTGGTGTATGTGCTCTGTTGTTGACCCAAACGTCGTTATGTGGTGTATGACTGTACTTAGTTCTCAACCCAGGATGAATAATGCTGTCCATTTTTCTGTCATTACTTTACAAAATTATAATTACTACTCTGCTCAGGGTCATACTACATTATTTTTTATGTATTCATTTCATTTAACAAACATTCACATAGCACTTATTATGTGCCAGGCACTATTGCCTCTAACAAGGATAGAGACCAGGATTGTTTGGTTCAGTGCTATACCCCTACCATAGTACCTGGCACTGACTTTATAATTTATGTAGCAAATATCAATCATGCAATTGAGTAGTTTACATTTGGTTTACTTTTTGGGAAGTAGTATGACATAATGGTTAAGCATACAAGTGATCGAGTAACACTGGTTTGTTTTGAATTCCAGGACTGCCATCTACTAATTAAATGACTGTGGGCAAGATATTTAATGTCTCTGAGCCTCGGTTTCCTTATCTGTGAAGTGGAAGAAATAACAGCATTGACTTCATGGTGGTATTTTCATAATTAAAGAAGGTAACATAAACACTTAGACAAATACCTGGGCAAGTTATACCCTTGAAAAAAATCTTAGCTATTATTATTATCATCATCACTAATTCTTCCTATCATGTTTACTGAAAAACATTGATTTAAGCAACTTAAATTCATGGTAACAACTATATTGGTATATTTACTATTTCCATTTCCTCATCTACCAGATAAATGGACTAGTTCCATAGAAACGTCTCTGGAAAGTTACCCAATTTCTATTCTATTTGCAGACTTTGGCATACGTTATGCTTGTGGTTTTCATGAATAAACTGTAAATATTTCCACAATACATATTTTGCCTTTTCTTTTCCTTTTTGTCTTTTTTACTGACCGGTAATGGGATCGCAACCCTCGGTGTCGCGCCCGTACTGGGGACCGGCAACGGGATCGCAACCCTCGGTGTTGTGCCCACACCGCGCTTAAACAGCGAGCGGGAACTGGTCTCCACATGGGATCCGAACCCTCGGCAGGAGTGCTATCGCGCTCCCAAGCGGCGTACTCTCCAGTGCGCCACCGGGCCGGCCCCATATTTTGCCTTCTTTTTTTTTTTTTTGTCTTTTGTCTTTTTCCGTGTCCGGCAATGGATTGCAACCCTCAGTGTTGCCCCCATACCGGACCGGGGACCGGCAACGGGATTGCAACCCTCGGTGTTGCTCCCACGCCTCGCTCAGCCAGGTGAGCGGGAACCGGTCTGTATGTGGGATCCGAACCCTCGGCGGGAGCGCTGCCGCGCTTCCCAAGCGGCGCACTTATCCAGTGCGCCACTGGGCCGGCCCCCATAATTTGCCTTTTTAATGGAGCTTTCTTATTTAGATCATAAACCAAAGAGCACAGAGTGAACACTGAAGAGTTTTAACCTAGCATTCGAAACCTCCAAAATAAAAATACAATTTTCTTGAGATGATAGTTCTCTCTTCTCTGGATATAACATTTAATGCTGGAAATGGGAATCACACTGTGAATTATTTGGTCATGCTTTTCCTTACATTTGCCATCTATAGAGGCCCTTTTTGTGCTATGAGACTTGTTATGTCTTGGTGTAAGCATAATTATGAGACTTTCCTAGAACTAATAACATGTAATATACTAATAGGTTAGGGGATTTTTAAAAAACAACTTCACAGTTTCACAGATTTTTATGTAAGAAGTCATAATCAAATGCACATGTAATATCCATTCAGATTAACCTTTTTAAATAAATAGAAGTCAGACAATTTACAGTTAAATCAAGGTGTTAATTGTAGTTGGCAAACTATAAACATCATGACATTTCACTATCTCAGTTATGTCTAATTTTAAACAATTCTTCTCTCTTCATCTTCAAGATCTTGAGGAATGTTCTATCTGGAAGGGTGGTTCTTGTATGAAACCTCTCAACAGTGCTGACAGCAGTAGAGTCAAATGTCATGAAATTTTGAAAGTGTGCACTATAAAAATATTAATAAAGTTTGCAATAATGTGGATTTCTCCAAATTAAAAATTTCACAGAATTATGACAATTTCAAATTTCAAACTGCCTTTTTGCTATTGCTACATGACAGTACCACTTTAGCTGGTAAGCAGCGACTTCTGCGATTCCCTGTCATCATTGGTCACCAATTCTGTGAGGTCTTCAGAAACATATCCCTCCCATAAAATATTTCAGCCTTGTTTTGACTGCCAAAGTAGTAAGATTTGTTTGTTTTCTCCTATGCTTTTATGAATAGGGTGCATTTTTATAAAATATCTTTACCCATTAAAGTTTTAGTTTTTAATTGAATTATTTTGCTTCTCAATGGAGAAGATTAATTTAAAATCTCTTGAGAGCATGAAGAAGGTAGTGTATAAGTTTCTGAATTTCTTTCATAGAATTTGAGAGCTGGAAGAGATCTCTGAAGTTACCTAGTCTAACTCCTTTACATTAATACATCAAGAAATTGAGTCCGTTAAGTAACTGGGTTAGGACAATGTTGAGAGGTGAGGGAAGAGCAGGTTCTAATTCTTTTTCCTGAGCTAAGCTGCTTCTGGATGTGAAATTCTAATCACCCTTGAAGGGACTGAGTACACAAAGACACTTGAGTTGTGCATAGAAACCAGTGTGAAAAGGAAAAAAAAAGCAGTTCAAATTTAAATAGTCACAGTAAAGAGTCTGAAGCCAGCACATTCACTGAAGATAGTTCATTTTGATTATTTCCAGGACTAACATGTAGATTTAATTTAAAACAACTTCTGTTTGGCCTCATGGATATTAAACATTCAGACTGTTTTCACTTTTACAAGTTTCTGAATCAAATGTGGCCACAAAATGAGTTTAATGACATTTATTAGCTAAAGAAAATAATCATAACGTTCTCCGAACAAATAAATGTATTTTTGAGAGAAACATCACACACTTTTTATTTCCTTGTTTAGAGCTCTGCATGGCTCTAGCATTGGCAAAATCAAACCTGTCTCTAATCCAGTGACCTACCATATTGAAGGCAACTTTTTAAAGGAATATTAGTGAATCAACTCTTTAATATATTTGTAAGGTACACAATCTAAAATTTGCCTTTTTTTTGGTTTGAAGGTAGAATGAACATTCTCTGGAAAAATAATATTAAAACATTAGTTTACCAAAGTGCTTACTTCTCAGGGAAAGGGAGCTATATACTTTCAGAAATTAAAAAAAGAAAAACTCACAGGGACCATTTTGTATCACTGAGATGAGAGGAAGAAATATTTTACCCACCTGATCTAGATACTGAGTTTACTGGGTAAAGTTACATTTAACGAGAATCAATGAGCTAATAAGTCGTGTCCACTCTATGTTAATAAGCTTGTGTCCATTCTGCTTAGGTCTCTAAAACAATCCATTTATGAATTTAATCACAGCCAGTACAGAGACTTTACTAATTGGTAAATGTATTATTTAATTAAAAAATATTTGAAAGTTGCCTTGTACTCACTTTCAGAAGTACATCATCACAATGACAAAATACAAAGAAAAACAGAAAAAGCCTTCTTTGAATCTTTTCTTGACTATCATTTGAGAGAAAGAAAGGTCCTAAAGATCTCTTTACCTCTTCATTTAGAGAGTGGTTCTCAGATTCCTGGGGGTGGTTCCAGAAGCCTGTGATAATCAAATGTACTGAATCCATGGACATAAGATCAGAAATTCTGAATTACCAGATTAGAGCCCTGAAGTCAGAGGAGTCTGGTGACCTGCTGGAACATAGGGCTCCCTTTGCTTGCCTGCACTATTATTTCTTGATTCAGTGAAAACAAACTAAAGAACCCCAACTCCTCAACTCTTAAAATGTATACAGTCAGATACATATGGACAGCAAGAGCACAGACATTTAAAAACAGATCAGAAAAAAGTAACTTGAACAGAATGTGACATTTCCCTTGGTCTGTTGCTAACGGCCCACATACAACATGCTTTAAAAAACCCACCCTGGCACTTATTTTCATCATCATTTAAAAATGATTCAAATGGACATTTAGAATGTATGGCATTGAGCATGTATCCCATCTGGGGGTAAATGGAAAAGAGCTTCCTCGAGTAGGGCTGAGTTTTCAGTGGTTCTCAGGCTAAAATTGATGTGTACTTGGTCTCTTCTCTTTGGTCATGCTTTAAAGCCAAACAATATTTTAATTGTATCTTTTCAGTACTCCAACACTAGTAGCATTAAACATTCCTTTTTGTAAGGAAAATAATTATGGACATGATTTTTAAAATGCCTTCAGGATTTGAAGATGTAAAAGAAACATGTAAAAAGGAATTACTTTATTTTTTATTACTCTGAAGACAATCATACTTCATTTTACTAAAAACTAGAGACTCTTGTCTCTTAGCTGTCACCTTTGGGGTGGCTGTTTTCTGAATATTGTTCCAGCTAGAGTTCTTCATGCAAATTCTGAGGGTTGGATATACCATATACTCGTACATACTCTGAGCTATAATTTTAAACTACAGTAAAGTCAGATAAGTCCATAACCAGCTAATGGGCTATGAACCTGTTTGGGTGCTTCCTGCTGTCAGCAAACACTTCCTATTGATAACTGTCCTTATGAAGTTTAAACAATTTTCATGATAACACTGGAAAGCCGCAAAAAAGTAATTGTGGTTAGGTGAAGCGAAAAACTGACCAATCATGCAATGTATTTGTTCACCGTTCTAGTAAGTCTAAAGTCTTGGGGACTGGTATCCCCAGCTTTTCTGTCTCAAGATTTTGGTCCTGAATGTTACACTGCAGGCATTATATTTTAATCATTTCCACAATCTAAAAAAAAAAAAAATTATCCTATGGTGAAAACCTCCTTTCTTTGGCATTTACTTCCAGAGGATTCTAATGCTTCATTACTAACCATTATTCCGCACACCTGGACACATCACACGGTATAATATATATAGTCAGGCTTTGGAAAATTTATTTCAGTTTACATACAATCCTGCAAATCCTCTGGCGAGCTTGATGTGAAATCTTACCCAGCCAAGTCTCCCCAGCAGGATCTCCCTTTGCTCTTGATGTTAACAGCCAAAGGCCCCGAGGATCCCTCTGGGGAACCACGATGGGGCAAAGGAGTCGGGAAGAGTAGTGACTGCGGGGCTTGTTACGCAGAAGATTTACAATGTACTTCTTGCAGGCGGCTCAGCAACCCCCTCTGTGGCTGTGGGTGTCTGGTGTGACAGAGCGGAGAAAAGCTCTCTAATCTCCTCGTGCCTGCCTCTGCTGCTCACCCGCTCCCCTCCCTCCCGCCTTCCCTTTCTCCTCGAGCTCTCTCGCCCTCTCCTTAGCCTTTCTCGGGGAGTTTCAGTCCCTGAATGCAGCTGGAGTCGCCTTGGCAATCTAAACCCGGAGCCTGTGTGTATTCACACACACACGCGCGCACACACATGCACACGCGCTCGCACACATGCACTTCGGCTCTTCCCCCGGGATCTGGAGCAAACCCAGAGCTTCATCTACCTGAAGGGGATGGCCTGGCAGGACACTTCTTCCTCACTTGTCATCTCCGGCGGGCAGAGCAACATCGGAACGAGGAAGGCTCGCTGTCCGCTCTGTAACCTCACATCCTTCGCCACCACCGCTGCTTAAAGTGTCCAGGGTGGAGGAGAAGGCTCCTCCAGGACAGATCCCCGGCGTAGCTCTGCGGCCCTGGGACTTCCCCCGGCTGGTTCACTCCGGTCTGTCCCTCCTTGGCCATCCTCTACTCTCCGGCCGCGGGGTGCATGGCTCGGGCGCCTCCGGTGCTGCTGCTGCCACCGCCGCTGCTGCGAGCACATCCCACCCGAAGGATTGAACGCCGCCGCTGGAGCAGGGGGAGAAAGCGGAAGCCCTAACTTCCCTCCCTCCACCCTCGCTCTCCCCGCCGCTCCCTGTCCTCCCGAGCCGAGGACCGGTCGGAAGGCTCCCGCGGAAAGCGAGGCGAGAGCGCGGCGCAGGGGAGGGACAGCCGGGAGCCGCAGGCGCGCAGGGGCGGGGGCAGCATGTGCCCAGTCGCCGGGTGCTCGCCCGAGAAGTAGCGCGCGCTGGGGCGAGCGAGACGCTTTCCAAGTTGGGTGCGTCCCAGAGCTTACGCCCCGCGCCCCGGCCGCGCGTGTCCAGAGAGAGGCGGGGCTGATGGGCGACGCCGAGGCTGCCGTCGCCTGCGGCCAGAGCCCGTCTTAAAAGAACCCGGGCCAGCATCCCCAGGGTCCCAGCCGGCGTCGCGCCCTCGGCCCGCGTGCGTTCTCTGATGCTTGCGCTGGCGGTGGCCCGGGTGGCCCGCCCGCGGGGGGTGCCGGAGGGGGCGGGGGAGGAGGAGGAGGCGGTGTGATGGCCCTGGACGGCGAGCGGGGGGAGCGAGAGGAGGAGAAGAAAAAGAAGAAGAAGAAAAAGAAGAGGAAGAAGAAGAAGGAGGAGGAGGAGGGGGCCGAGAAGAGCTGCTCACCCTTCGCGGCCACGATGGGGGAAGACGACGCCGCGCTCCGGGCCGGCGGCAGGGGGCTCTCAGACCCGTGGGCAGACTCGGTGGGCGTGCGACCCCGCACCACGGAGCGCCACATCGCGGTGCACAAGCGGCTCGTGCTCGCCTTCGCCGTGTCCATCGTGGCGCTGCTCGCGGTCACCATGCTCGCCGTCCTGCTCAGCCTGCGCTTCGATGAGTGCGGAGCGAGCGCGGAGCCCGGCGCCGACGGTGGCCCCGCGGGCTTCCCCGCGCGCGGTAGCAACGCTAGCCTCCCGGGAGCGGCCGGGCGCAGCCACCACGCGGGCGTGGACTCCTCGCAGCCCGACGCGGGCGGAGTGGCCAGCCCGGGGACCCCGTCCGCCCAGCCGCCGTCGGAGGAGGAGCAGGAGCAGGGGCAGCCCTGGACGCAGCTGCGCTTGTCGGGCCACCTCAAGCCGCTGCACTACAATCTGATGCTCACCGCCTTCATGGAGAACTTCACCTTCTCCGGGGAGGTCAACGTGGAGATCGCGTGCCGGAACGCCACCCGCTACGTCGTGCTGCACGCTTCCCGGGTGGCAGTGGAGAAGGTGCAGGTGGCCGAGGACCGGGCGGCCGGGGCTGTGCCGGTGGCCGGCTTTTTCCTCTACCCGCAAACCCAGGTCCTGGTGGTGGTGCTGAACAGGACCCTGGACGCGCAGAGGAATTACAACCTGAAGATTATCTACAACGCCCTGATCGAGAACGAGCTCCTGGGCTTCTTCCGCAGCTCCTACGTGCTCCACGGCGAGAGAAGGTACGGAGGGAGGCGGTGCCCCGCGCCGCCCCACCCCGCCCGGCAGCTCGAACCGCTGGGCGGACGGCGACCCGGGGGACCCAGCTGGATTCCAATACCCGAAAAGCTAGGGGTGGGGGAAGGAAGTGAAGGCGGGGTGGGACCTTCACCCAGCACCCCCACTGCTGCTAAGTCCTCAGAGTCACTCACCAGTGCCAAATGATGAATGCCGCCCCTCTTCTAGTCAGGACCTCCCTACTCCCCGTAGAAGTTCCTTAGCCAGGGGGGTGCAGGGCTTTTTTTTCCTAAAGGGTATCTTGTAATCCGAGCGATCCGGAGTGAAGTGAAAAGCTTGCCAAGTTACCGTCGAGGAAAAGAAAATACATGAGCGCCAAAGGCCAGGGCAGCCGCGCATCCCGGTGACAGGGGTAGGGAAAGGCACACACCCCCTTCCCTTCAACATGCCCAGCTCCGCTGGCAGGCGCAGAGCACAGGATGGGCTTTGACTGCGTAAAGTTTTCCCAAACTGCAAGTTGAGATTCGGAGCGGAAAGAGCGTTTCCAAATGACAGGGTGAATGGGCGGGGACGGGGGTTGGTGTCTGCTACGGCCAAAGCCGGCGAGGAGTAACCTCGCAGGCTCTGCCTGCCCGGTATAAACGCTGGGGGATGCCTGCTGTCTGTTCATGAGTCGCTGTCTCTGGAAAGGACTACAGTGGTGAAAGGTGGGCAAACTAGTGGTCATTCTCAAATACATTGTTAGTGAGAGTCTTTGATGAATTTTAGATTTGTGCAGTATTGTAGTTTTTATTTGAGAATTTGTGGCGCTTTTCACCACTTGTTTAGAGCTTAGACTTCAGAATCCAAGAGAACTGGGTTCGAATCCCCGCTGTCCCTCTACCTGTGGTGAAGGTTTGAGGAATGTGATTCATCTAAGTTGCCAATTCCTAATAATGACTAACTCTAGTGCTAATTGCGCACCGTTCATGAACTCGATCCTGCAAGAACTCCCTGTATTACAGGTGGGGAAATAGAGGCACAGAGAAGCCACATAGCTTGACTCAGATTAAAGAGTGAGCTGACGGAGTGGGGATACAGACATAGGTAGTTTAGATCCAGAGCCCATAACTTTAATTCTAATTTAGGAATACTAATAACACATCCTTATAGGATTGGTGTAGATGTCCATGAGCGAAAGCATTGGAAAGCACTTAACCCTGTGCCTGGCATTTAGAGTGTCCTAAATGCTGGCTCTCATGAGCATCCTGTGGTGATAAGGTCTCAAATACATTGTTGAATAAATGAACAGTGCTTCTTGCTCTTTGCTCTAACCCATTACATTTAAAGTAACTTTGATTACTTAAATGACTATAGGGCCGATAAACAACCAAAGTGAACTTAAAAGTGAAATCACTAACTTTAGAAGGAGAGGCAAGTTGGAGGTTAGCAATGAGGCAGAGCCTCTCCTTTCCTCAGGTGATACAACAGCAGAAAACTGGGTCTCAGAGTAGCCAGGGCACCTGAGGGCAGCAGGCTTGTCAGTGGAGAGCTACGACTGGAACTTTGGTTTTTTGATCCCTAGATCAGGGCTCACGGTGTTCAGAAACTACCAAAAGACGTTATTGTGTAAGAAGCTGAGAAAATTTCAATGTGTTATGGGAATACACAAAAGTTTTATTATTTATAGAGTGCTATGAAGTAACTTCATATAAATAAAATACCCAATGCTTTAGTAGTTGTATGATACTTAAAACCTCTTGTGAGTGTATGTATAAATTATTCACTTTCTAAGATCAGATATGGGTAATTTAAACCCCCTTCTACCATTCCTCCAACATGTTCTACAGAATACAGAGTAAAAGTATTTTTTAAGAAACCTGCAATCATAGAATCATAGAAGGCAAATTTGCATGTTATATTTAAAAACAGCATTGTTGTGTCAGAATGTCAATAGTGAGAGTTAGATATCACTGCTGATAAATCTTGTGGTAAAATAAATACTTCCAACAAATCCTGTTTTTGAGCCATGCCAAAATATATTTGGCAGGACTGAGATTGTTTTGGTCAGCGCTTTCAAATTAACAGGACTCTTAAAAAGACCAGATGTTTCTGCTTGACCCATAACTGATTTCTTGTATCCCTAGTGCATATTTGTATTCAAACTCTCTCCTTCAGTTTTCCCCCAAAATGTAAACAAGTTGGTTGAAAGTTTAACCTAGTGCACATGTGGTTAAACTCTGCATCCCAATAAAAATGCAGGATTCTCTGTTCTGAAGATGCCAGGGTGGTTTTACTTCTAAACAGCATCTTAGAGAAAGTACTTGTTCCTCTTTTTTTTTTTTTTCTCCCATTTTCAATACCAGAGTGAGTCTGATAATTTCTTAGATGTTTCTACTGGAGTTGATAAGGCAAAAGAAATCTAATAATCCACTTCAGAATTATGTCAACATTCCATATATTAAACTTTTTTGGTTATTGTTTTTAATATGACTACTTGGAGCATATTTAAACAGACTAATATCAGGAATTCAGCCAGGGTTGGCCTTTTATTGGTAATGATTTTATCTCCAAAATGCAATGTAAATTGGCATTTTAAAACCCACTTTCCAAAAGGACACAGATGCGAACTCTGAATTTTCATTTCATTAAGCATTAAATATTTTGCTCTTTAATTAGTCATAATTTTTGCCAATTTAATTATAGGATAATTTCTGTAATGAAAACAAATATTTAATCTGCCAAAGAGAGTCACGTTGAGCAACTTGAAATACTTAAAAGAGCAATACTGCAACTCAGTCCACTTTACTTAGCCTATGTGGAAACAATAACTCATTAATATCCTGTCAATCCGATTCTTCAGCTCATTCCTCAGAGATATGAGAGAAAGAATTTTGGTGAGGGCAGGAAAATTAAATTCCACTGTGTGCTACATGCCTTTGACTCCTGGAAAGCTTTATCTCCCTCTAAGTATTGGAGCGGGCCTGGTTTTGTCCTTCAAGGGAAGACTTGCTTTTCCTGCTCCCTGTACTATAGTGGATAAAGGTTAGAAGACAAGCTCCCCGTGGAAGCTCAAGTGTCCTCAACTTAAGGCAAATCCGCTATTCTTGATTACTCATTTGGCTAAGAGAAAAAGTTCACCACTTGTTGAATATTGAAAATAAATAAATTCTCAGAAAATTGAAATGTTTACACACAAGCAGTAAATTATGTCCATTAGGTGGAACACATATTCACTTTTTCCTCAAGTAGGTGTGCAGCAGGTAGATAAAAGGGGTGTGTATTTATGCCACAGTTTCCTATATGCTTGCTTAGAATTAGGTAAAATGTTCATTTACCTGAAGTAATTGTCGCTTTTGGGTAGCCAGATGGTGAGCACACCCATGTTCAAAGTAGGGTACCTTAATTTAGATCCAGATGGTTGGATTGAAAGAAGAAATTGACTCAGAATAAATGAACATTTTATTCACTTTCAAAAGAGAGACTGTTTTTCTTTGACAAGCTTTGATTGGGTGTATAACATGCCACTGTGACACAAGACAATAAAAATAGGAGGCCTTTTTCTATAAAGGGTTGTTGAGAGAGAAATCATGATCTCTAAGTAAACTGTGAAAATAATAATTGTGATTCTCGTAAAGAATACGGACCACTCTTGCAAAAATCTTGTGAAGAGCATGGAGAATTTTTATCTTGGGGTGGGAATTTGGTTTGATGCCTTGTAATTTTTCTGGAATGAGTTAATAATCATGATATTTAATAAAAACAAGAAAACCACCACATTGTTTTTATGTTGAAAGCAGCTTCATTTCTCCCCTTCACTTTGATGAGCAGGTAGTTTTACATGAGCTAGTGGGAGTATATGGCTTTTTGCCCCTCTATGCAGCTATGAACTGAAAAATCTTTGAGAGCCATTTATTTATGTGAAAACCTTTTTATATGATTTCTTAATGGACTTAGCTCATTGTTATTCTGTCAGACATGCATAAAATGCATAAACTGAGTCCAGTGCTGTATTTTGGTCACAATTCATAATGCCACCAATAAACAAAATCTAGAAAATATTTTAAAAACCTGACCATTTAGTTATGGTTCACTTAGGGAGGCAAATTCATACAACTGGTGTTTGTCTTGCCATGTTTTTCTGTGGTGCTGTCTGATTTGATCACCCTACATTGTAATAAAGCATACGAGGGTAGTTAAAAAGTTCATGGAAAAATAAAATAATACAAATCTTTCCATGAACTTTTTGAAATACCCTTACACAGTTTCCCTGAAAGAGTTAAATCACTTTGCCTGTGTTTTTTACTTATTCAATGTCCAAACAGAGCCTAGTGCTCTGGAGCTCTTTCAAACAAGGATAGACTCGCTACTGGCTTTCCCAGCATTTGTTTGGTTTGCACAACATGTGGTTTCCTTAAACTAATTTTTGCCACTGTGTGCGCAGATGGGCTGAAGAGACAACAGTGTGGGATAATGCTGTAGGTTTACTTGATGATGGTGGCATTTGGTTGATATGATTACAAGAACAGCACTCACCTCTTCAAGCTTGACTTCAAAGAGTGGTACAAAAACAGTGAGGAAGAAATAATTTACTTTTGAAACATAAATGTTTTGGTCTGTAAGAAAAGATGTCCCTTCTTCACCTCCCACCCCCAGCAATGATAATCATCACCATCATCACTGTTACCATCATCACCTTCACCTTCATCATCACCTTTCTCTCAATTCTTTGCATATTCTTTACATCCTCCCAGATTTACAAGAGTGGTTGGGTTCCCCCAGAGTTTTTCAAAGTCCCACGCCATCCTACTTTCTACGCCATGTCTCTCACAGATAGAATATTACTATGCAGAATAAGGGAAAATTCAAAGGTGAAATATACTCCCTCCCCACTGTTCCCAGTTTCCTGGATAATCTGTAATGATTCACAGACACAGCCAGATGGTGGTGGTGGGGCTGTGAGGGTAGAATAAAATTGGCAAGGTTGCATGGACTGAAGTGGGGTAAAAGGCTCAGACTCACCCTT